CAAGTCATCGTTCAATTTCTTTAACAAATAAACCTTTCATTTATTTCATAGTATAAGTATTATGGCCAATTTTGACTTTTGTATGACTAAATTGAATAATACTTTAACACTTACATTACTTAAATTTCATTGTTCAATTGTTGAGCGATGACAATAGTATTCTTGATTGTTATGAAACTATCATATGAAACTTTCTGGTTTGGATATTCGAAAACTGGTTTCGATCAGGATCTCTGTAATCATGATAGTGATACTTTTTTTAAATTTGGACTATAAATATTCTACTCATCATTCCTTGATTTGTTTCTTACTTTTGACAAATTCTGGTTGACAATGCCATCAATATGAAAGTAATTTCAAATGAGTCAACGATCTTATAGATCTTTGCATTACTATAGGCCTAAATGCTAGAGCGCCACCGACGGGATATGCGTTAACTAACCAAAGAATTGCTCCATGCTCGTGAATCTGCTCCCATTGAAGTTGAGTTTGGATATCAGTAAGAAGGCAGCCTTCTGAAATGTGGTCGTATAATTTACCTCTACCATGTTTATGTCATTAGAAAGCATAATTATCTTAATTTTAGTCTATGGAACTTATTCATGTAAGCTTACGATAGTTTAAATGTTAAGGATTCGCTGTCACCTAAGTTAATTGCCTATGTTGGAAGTCAAGCGCTTGTGATGTTTAAGCAATGTAAAGCAATATAAATCTTTTAGATAATTATTTTAGGGGGCGTTATATAGGCCCTAGGCCTACTATTGGTTACAAAGAAATTGCTATTATTAAATTCTGTTTTGTTTTTTATTTCTGGTGGGGGGGGGGGGTGTTGATATAATGAACAAGTGTTGCAAAGGCGGTTTGATAAGAAGGCGAGGAGTTAGCTGGTGGACCAGGTGACATTTAGTGATTATTTTTGACTATTAGAGTGAAACGTTTACCCTATCTAATTTCTGTGGAGGCCTACAGTAGTAAATTTTTGCAATCACATAACATACAAGCGCACATCAGCCGACTACAAAATGCGATCGGACGCGAACATGGAATGACCTTGAAGGTTTTGGAATAGCGTATGCCTTATGGTAGTCTATTACAAATTACTTTTTATGGTAGCATTACTATTGCGTTATCTCTACATTTCTTGCGAAATTGAACAATTTATATCCTTCCTTTTATCCACAAAGCATAAACTAGTTTTTCATGGCCAAGGATGATTGGCTGATTCGTTGACAAATTATTCGGATGTCATTACTTGTAAGTGAAGATATCCCAGCGTCCATTATTCATGAGTTGCACCAGTCATATATCAGTTTCGCCGTGTTAATTGTTATTGACATATTACTTAACCGTCTTCATGTTGCTTGTCCTCTCACTGGGAATAGTTCACTTACGAGGCCATTTTTCCATATCACGTAATGCATCTAAATTAGCTAAACTAGAAGTTAGTCAAGAATCGGCCAAAATCAGGGAGTGAAGTGTTATAGAGAAGTGATAGTGCGCAGTGAGACAAGTTGGAGTTCAGTGGCAGCGAAACCGTGATGTTGTGAATGATTTGACACACAAACGTTCGATAGGTCTGGATAGGCCCACTGAGGTGTATGTTAAAGAGAACTCTTTTGAAAAAAACAACAAGTTCATAGATTGCTACGCGGGCTATCATAAATTCCCCAGGAAGCCTTCTGATTGGCGGAGCAAGTAGAAAAGAATTATTGAGTGAGACGTGAATTTGTTGAATGAAACTAGAAAATCTTCCACAAAAGTGATTTGTTGATACATTATCTTCCACATCAGTCGATACAAAGTGAGTAGCTTGAAGATAGCTTACTCTCCGGACAATATTTTTTATTTATACCAAATGTGCTTATAAAAAATTATCTCCGAAGAAAATCTACTTTAAAAAAATGTTGAACTTTGGATCAAACTAAGAGAGAGTGCTACAAACAAAACCCCAGGGGAAGTTTAATATTCAAGGTATGTAAATCGCGCTCGTGTGAGAGACGTTAACATTAACAACGTTGACGTCACTTGCCTCTGGATTGGTGAGGTGAATTTAAAGTCACTTGCCTCTGGGTTATATTATCATGTAGACATTTAAATTACAAGCCTTACTTTCACGCTGTCTGTCAATTCTGAATCAAGATAGGCCTATATCGTATTTATGAAATTCTGTCAGAGTGTTTTGGAATATCTGCTGATGCGGTGGTTTATGGATGGTAAGATTACTAAAATCATTTCTTAATGTTAACTGTTAAAGCATTTTTAACGTTCTTCTGCTATATGCCTTTAATATAGGGCCTAGTTCATCTTCGCGATTGTATTATTTGCTTAGCAGTTGCTTCTCGGTATCTAAAGATGTTATTGAGCTTTAATGTGATCTTATTAGTTTTAATCAGCATATTATTCACAATAACGAATGTATTACTCATGGTGTTTTAGTTGTAGACTATAATACAGAATATGTTTGTATTTCGACTTTGTAATTGATAACATCATTTGTTATGTTTTTAATAACAGAGATTTTTTTTTCTAAGTTACTGGTGTTTACTGAGTGAAGTCTTCGCTGTAACCCAACACCATCCGATTACCTTTCCATTTCAGGAGATATTGGGTGCACATTCTGATGAGAGGGGGACAAACCAGAACAATACGGTTTTTTTTATCCACCATTGGTTTCGTGTGTGCATAATAGCCCATAACGAAAATCAAATAGTTCATTAAACCAAACAGCCAATGTCCAGTCCTAACTTACATCATTAATAAATGAAGGCCGAAACCTGTCTGTGCATTTAATTAATTGAATAGTCAGTTCCTTGTTATTTGCAACTATCTTTAATACGGTACCGTATTGTTGTACTGTATCATCATGTAAGCCTCCATTTGTATTCATTACAAGTCGGTTAGCGCTGCACTGACTGTTACATGTCCCCAGGGGCACAGCTAAAATTTCCAATTTTACATTTAAAAGATAACAAACATTTATTTTTTGTTATTTAAAAAACTTCTTACATTTTAATATATTCTTAAAATTTCACATGACATAGCATTGCTTAATGAACGAACGCAGAGATATCAAAATTAAATTAGCAAAAATTGTGTTATTAATAAGTTCCTGGATGTTTTGTGGCAATGCGATATCGATGAAGGTACAACATTTGGGTTCTGTGTGACACTAGTGACATGTATGACCCCAGTGGGGATCCTGTCAACTATAATACGGCAACAGCTGTTTTCTGTTGACAAATTTTATAGTGATATTAAGGATTAATAGTCTCTTTCGTGAGTAATTGCCTTTCATTATATTATGATCTATAGTTAGCTGTGCAAATGTATCGGACCAGGTACTGTAGATATTAAACTATTTACTTTAGCAAAAATTCCATTGATGACAGGTTGAAAATATTGCATTCGCATTTTTTTGCCAACTCTGATTTTTATATTTCAGAACGTCTCTCTGGTACGTCTCGTTGTAAACATTTCAATTGAAGATATAAATTGTGCGGATCAGGGACAGGTTGCCAGCGGCAAACTAATTACAAAGGTACTCTTCGACATTTATGTACTAATAATGGCGATCTGTAGGACAGCAGGATTAATGGCAAATTCAAAGTTTATTTGTGTGGTTTTCATCTTCGTCCATGCTGTTAACGATGTGTCGTCGGAAGAGGTGGTGGGCGTAGGCCTCCAGGGTAGACGGGTCCGTCCTGTTAGCATGCCAGGTATACAATTTGCTCGCTCGTACTTTCAGACGACTGTCCTGGAAACGTCATCAATTGGGTCAACTGTGATTCATATTCCGGTGACCACCAGTCATCCAGGTAAGTCATCAATGAAGATACCAAGTTTAATAGTTTCTGGTTCAAGTGTTTTTTAGTACTGGTATAATACTGTCATGCCGGTATATACTGTCTGTACAATATAATCATGATACAATGGACCATTAATAGCAGATAGGTGTAAAAACTCCCTGAGAGTTTTTCCATTCACAATTTCTCAACCGATATTGGTAGGACCTAATACAAATACTACTGACCCGATTTTTAACGAAGTATGCGATTTGTATTCAATTACATGAATGGTGGTAATTGAGTTTTGGAATTTTTTTGTCATTTGCTTATTTACTTAAAAGAGACTCGCATTTTTTTTTTTAATTTAGTATAGATAAGTACATATAAATCGAGTTTAAAGCAGTAAGAAGTTACTTCCTTATTGTTAATGTTTGTAAGCTACATTTTTATTTACCTGGTTTAAAATATAAAATTGAAGTCTTATCACAATATTGGTGGTGCAACGCGTTATCCTCTACAAACAAGGAGGTATGGGCCTATACTAATAAAAGTAAGATAATAAAAGTTTATTTTCATGAGTTTAAATGGACGTTTTAATTCATGATCGAGGCAAAATACAGCCGAATTGAATGGATCATCGTATTATGTAATTCTTTGTTAGGTTGATTTATATTACTGTACTCTGAACTTTTGCGCTCGTGGGGTCAAAATCGGGTGTGCGGCCGGCCTATATCTGGAAAAGGGGTTATCAGCTATATGTACGGTAATTTTTTTTTCGTTAAATAGAATTAATCCCATAATGTCTTATAAATAACCAATCGAATGGCAAGAATCTCAACAGGTGTTGTGTAAAAAATATTATACATAGTGATCTAATTCACTGCTCCCCAACTAGATGTGCCCATCGCATAGGCCTAAGTATTCGTAGCAAATGAATATGACTTATGTCTGTAGACCCAAGGCATCTTCTTTAAAGTAACATGTTTATTTAGCTTGTGTTTCTTCATTTTTAAATATTGTGTATGTAAAACAATATATGGATTTTTATATTTTTTCAATTACTTTTTCATTAGTTTTAATTTTTAGGCTATTAATGACATTGAATGATGTTTTATCTCTCCATTTGGCCTATTTTTATTTTGTTTTGTTTGGCTATAGGCCTTAATCCAACCATAGGCCTACGTTATATTTCCAGCGTTGGTATACATTACGAACCCTATTATATATCCATAGATATTTTACCTCTTGTGTTTAAAATACACTTCTTTTTTTTTATAAGAACACATTTTATAAGAACAATGAGGCTGAAATTGCTTAAAAATTAAGAACAAAATAAGAACAAATTGAGGCTCAGGTAAAATGTTAAATGAAATTTTTATTCAAAAAAACCAAAAATTATAGGCCTAGCCTATTTGTACCTTAAGTTAATAATACTTAATAATAATAGTTAATAGTTAAGTTATAATACTCTCATAATACAGTACAGTAGATGTATCTCCTGTCAGTTGGAGCCATTTTTAGCAGAGCCTTTTTTCTCGGCCATTTTTTACCAGGGCGACTTATACCTACATTCCGGTACAGTACAGTGTATACTGTAATACTGTGAAGTTTGAAAAGTGTGTAAAATAAGAACAAAATACGAACATTTTGAGCCTGAAATCGGCCAAAAAATAAGAACACTGAGCCTGGGCCAAAATTTACTGGTTCATATAAAAAAAAGTGTAGTCCAAGTGTTTCTTGCGATTGATCACCGCTGAAGTTGGACTTGCATTATTGGAAAGTAGGTAAATGTCTCCCATAATTTGACCATGGACCCAACTTTTAGTCCAATGATGCCAACTTACCCCTGATTGGATTAGGTGATTAGGCCTACAGCACATTCTTATTTATACTCCCACTTGCGACTAATTGCGTCATTTAGGCTTCATGGGAGAGCCATGCTAGGCTAATATAAATATGGGAGGTAGTAAATTAAGAACCACACTGTGATGACTGGCATGGCCTTGTGACAGTGTAGTTATGAGCCCTTGATTCATAAAAGGCTATTGAATTTGTATGATTGTTACTCGTCATCTAGGCAAGTTTGAAATTCTCTTTCCTCAAACCAATTATCTGATACACATGTTTTTAATTGGATAAAATTGTTGGTACAGTGAACTCGCTTAGAGATGGAAACCCCTAAAAAATAATTCAAAAAATATATGATAACAAACAGTTTCCTTTATTATGAACCATTTTCTTGTCATTCAGCAGCAAGATAGGCCGAATAGTATGGTGTTCTATAAACTTCATAACGCTTATTAACAGTTGCGGCAGGTTGCGCTAATAAAATTAGAGTTTTACTGAACCGGGTTCTTGGGATTGCGAGAAATATAGTATGCAAAAGCTACAATTCAAGTCCCCTGGGCAAGGAATCATTCCCTACAGGCATTAACAATGCTTAACAATGATTCAACGTGGTAATTGGGATATAGGCCTGATATTGAGTATCTATTTTTGTTAAAGACACTCAAAAGAAGAATCTACCAAGTCTACATACCAGGCACTCGGAAAAGAATCAGTTAATGTAATACCAGTGTACCTAGTACTTAAAGTTTGAACGAGGCGCTCGAATGGACACTTTCAATGTATTATTCTTATTAATTATTACAGGTCTGGGCATAAAGAAATGTATTTATAGGCCTATAGTCCTGTTTTAAAGGAAATTTAAGCATTTTCCTGCTGGTAAAATTGCGCTAATGATAGTGCATGTTGGTGTGATTCGCACACCTAATTTTGACTACCGTATGCTTCAAGGAATGCTTTAAATACATGTCTTCATTTATTATCGACTAATTTTTGGAAGCTTAGTTACAGTAGCTAAAACTTAAAGTCCGAAACATCTCAAAGCGCAGTAAACACTGCGAAATGTCACTTACCGCAGCCTGAAAACTACCGATAAATCCCCAGGCTTTAACCGATTTCCCATGAGACACCTAGCGTTGCGCTTTACTACAGTCATTTTACTTTCAGATACGGCTTCGAAACTCAAAGACCAATAAGTCATATGCCATTTATTCCAGTTGGTTGGTTTTGAGTGTGTGAAGTTAATTGTATAGTGATGACCACATTGCAAATTTTCATTATTTTGATGTATAAAGTAGGCCTGTAAATAATAGGGTTATTTATGTTGGATATGACTAGCAACACAAACAAAATTAACTTATATAATTAAAGAAATATAAAATAAGAAGGTCCAAGAGAACAGAATTGTTCATTCGTATAAAGTAGAGTTATTTCCAGATTCGTTGGTCCCTTATTAATACCATCGCAATGTTCCTTTTGTGTTCCAGTTTTAAATTTCAGAAAAAATTAGATGAAAAAAATTAAATAAAAGAACAAACTGCTTTGAAATACCACTGAGAACACGGTACCGTAGCTCTACTTGTATCAATTTATAGTGGGCGGTAAAATGCTTGGTAGCATAATCACACCAACGATTACTCAAAAATGCATGGAATGGTCAGCTTTACTTTTATTGCATTTTATTATTTTAAACTTTGATTGATTTTGGGATTTGACTTTTTTTAAGGTACCTGTATTAATTCCTGTAGGCCTAAGCTTATTCATAATCATCGAGACAAGGTACGGAACGTGATACATCTTTTTGAATATAATTATGGAATAGTTAGTGTCATGAGCGTATTTCAATAAGCAATGTATAAGACAGAATTCGAGTTTCTGGTTCGTTTATTAATGGCTAGGCATACCGTAGTAGTCAGTCTCAATCTTTCTTTTCATAGAGTTTAAAGGCCTAATTCACTGGCACCATGTTCTACTATTAAAGGAATTTTTCGGGTACAATGACAAGTCAAATCTATTCAGCTTAACAATTTTGATACGGGATTAAATGAAATTATAACAAAAAAACCCCCGAAAAACGCGAGTGACAACACACAACCCTGCTTTTTCTATTCACTGGCGGTGTTCCTAAACGTTAAAAGAATTTTTTTAGTATAATAAAAAATAAAATCTCTTCAGCCTTATCAATTTATACCGGATTAAATGAATTATAATACAAAAACACACATAAAAAGCGCGCGTGATAAGAATCAGCACTTTATACAAAGCTACAGTGACGTCACGGTGTCGTTATTATTGATTCAGTTTATGCATGAAAGCGAATCTTAAATTGACTTTTCTGCATCTGTTGACTTTTTAAGGTGCGAGTTCGCATTTAAGATACCAGTATCACTGTTCCACGCCACAGATTTGTTTTCACGTGCCTGTACTTTCTGGAAAATTTATGAAACAACGAACAATTGAGTTTGTAGGTAGGCGACAGTATAGGCCTAGGTTATTTTTATTGTTCAGACAAAAAAAAAACAAAAAAAAAACAACTTCTACATGACTGGTTTAAAATGTAAACTGTAATGTGGGAATGGGTGTACGACTATTTTTTATGTTAAGTACCATGTAAAGCGTCTTGCTGGCGCTTTTGTTCGCGCCTTCTACTTTGAAAGTACACTAAACACAAACATTTTGTAGGAATGATGTTTTCCTCTACCTGACGTATTATACTGAATGCTCAGTAAAGTTCCAGATACTAGCGAAAAGTGATTCGGGTAGGAATCGAACCCACCACCTCCAGATAACTAGCCTGGTGTCTTAATCACCAGACCATCGAGCTTGCGCTTAGGTGCAAGTGTTGAATCATGATTCCCATCAGCGAGTACTACAATGCTTTTCCTATGGTGTCAGATATTTTGCTAACGTACTTTACTTAGCAAAGCAAACGTTCGTGAGATTTGAGCTTCTACCATTTAAGTACGGCTTGAGGCGGTCGGGCAAGCTTGCTGGCAGGACTACGTTGGTAGACCTTTCCTGTCACTCTAGTTTTTAGAGTCCTTAGGGGGTAGCTTTTACCCACCAGAACCTGAACCTTGAGCCACCTAACACTAAATTTAAGTGACAACTCGTGCATACATGTTGTTTACCGAAGAAACAAAAATTTGAATAATTTGTAATTTCTTGCATTGTTGCTGAATTTT